GGAGGAGGAGCCCGTGCAGATCCGCCCCGTCTCCCGCCCTCGCCATCGCTCGGTCGAGGCCGTCTCGTGTCGGCGTTTCGGCGTCTCGGCATGGAGGGAAAAAAGGGGTGCGGGGGGGAGGGGAGGGGGGTCTGGCTGCGGACCTCTGCTCAGTGCGACTGTTTGCAGCCGTGCGTCCCGTGGGGGAGGCCTCCACCTGCTCGAAGCGGGCGCCCGAGACGGCAAGGATCTACTCCATGGGGGGGGGAGGGGGTGGTGGTAGAAGGGCCCGCGCCAAACAATGAATAAGAACACTATCACTCGGACGTCCATTCCCCGTGCGAGTATCTTGTCCGCAAGATGACCCCAAGAGCTCCTCGATGGCCCTCGCCGAGGAACAAATGCACACGTCCGAGCGGTGCCGGGTCCCTGTTCCCCACCCCGTCCCTCGCCGTCTGGACCCTCCTCCTCCTACGATGGATCCTGCTCACGTCTCTCCGCCGACGGCGTCCAGGTGGGCATTGCGCCCTCTCAGCAGCGCTGGCCTTTTTTTAATACAAGAGCCCAAACATGCTTTCACTCGGAACGTTGTCCGTGCTTCGAGCGGTGCTCCCGCTGCAGCGCGCACCTCCTTGCAAGATCGGCGCGTTGCCCCCGCAGCTCAGAATGACGCTCTCTCGCCCCAGCGCGGGCCACGTGCTTGGACCCGAGTCTTTCCTCGTCGTTGGCTCCCCGCTCCGCTCCCCTTCCCCGCCTTCTCCTGGTCCCCCTGTTCCTCCCGCTCCTCCCATTCCTGCTCCTGCTGCCGCTGTTCCTCCTCGCCCTCCCCCTTCCTCATCCTCCCTCTGTCCCTCCTCCCGCTCATCCTCCAGCTCGTCCTGCTCTTCCAACCCTCCTTTTCCTGATTGGGGGTTCCAGGTCTGCTATCGCACCTGACGGCAGATAACGAACCCTTTTCACCAGCTCGACAAGGTCGCCCCGCGGCTGAGGAAGGGGGAGGGGAACAGCAGGGAAAGGGAGGAGAGGAGAGGAAGAGGAGAAGACAGCAGCAAAAGCAAGCAGTGCAGGCGCGGCCTGGCCGACGCCAGCGGCTGACAAAACAAAAACAAGATGGGGTAGGAAGGGCAGGATGTCAGATGCAGCGCGAGCGCACCTAACTTGTCCAACCCTCTCGCCCTCGTCTTTCTCGCCCTGCTCCTTACTCTCATTTCTCCCTCTCCCTCTCCCTCCGCCCTCTCTAGTTCCTTCTCAGGTGCTGCTGCATCCTCAAGGTCATGTCACCCCTCCGCCCGAGGAAGGTCAAGAGATCCTCGTGTCAGAGCGCGCGGCGCCCAAATTCTCCGCCGTCAGAAGCAGAAGTCAGAAGGGGAGCCAAAGTGCCAGCCAGCGGGCTGGGCGTCGTGGACACCGCCTGCCTGTTCTGAGTGGCAGGCCAGTTCTGGTACGACAGCTGCGAGAACCTCAGGTTCTCGCAGCTCTTGCTGCGCGAGCCATTCCATGAGAAGCCCAAAGCGTCAGACGCCAAGCAGATGTCAAAGAACCTGCTCACGAAGATGATGCGTTGCTGATCAGGCCCCGAAGAGGAAACCCAGAACGAGCTCTGGTCCGGGGGCGGTGGCACCTTGTCCAGCAAGCCGAGGGTGATCGCGCCGCTGGTCCTCTGTGGTGGAGTCGGCAGGATCGTTTTTTTCAGCATCGTGGCCGGCCCAACTCTCGGCCTCATTGCGGGGATTTCGGCCATCCGTCCGCGAAAAACAGATCCCCCCTCCGCGAGGGCCTCATTCGGATCGGTCGCGCCTCGCACCGCATCGTGGCCAGCAGCGGGGGACGGCCCGCGATCACGCTGCAGTCCGAGGGTTGGAGAGCAGTGAGGTCGGCAGACCTCGAGATCGACAACAAGAAGGTGACAGCGTTGGTGTCTTCACCGTAGCCGAAGACACCTGCACGTTGTACTGCGTATACGACGAGCGCCACGACCTCTGGGAGATCACTACTGTAATCGCTACATCAATTCACCATGTAGAAAGAACTGAACGTCCGCAACTGGCTGCGAACGCGCAATACTTACACCTCACGGCTCATGGGTGTGATTGCGGACGCTTCGGCGTGCCGTTCGGGTGCGACGTCCACGTCTTCAAATCCAGTGCTTTCGAACCAGGTCCGTTCGTCGTAGTCGTCCGTCGGCCGTCGGACATCAGAGTGGTCAGGATCACATCCCTGCAACACGAGTGGCAGCAAGCATCCCTGGATGTGCACCCAGCGGTGGCACTACCCACGGAGCGTGCTAACATCAAAGTGGTCAGGACCATATCCCTACAACATGAGTGGCAGCAGGCATCCCTGGATGTGCACCCAGCGGTGGTACTCTACCCACGGAGCGTGCTACCACCTCGGGCTCTGCTCGGAATCTGTTTGTGTTCGCAGGCGCGTCGGCCTCCGGCTTGACGTCACCACGTACAGTCGAGGCGTTGACCTAAGGAGCCCTAAAGAAGGAACGAGGCCCCTATTTTCCATAAGTTGAACTTCGATTTCGTATCGAAAACCTAAGGAAAATCCAAGGCAAGCTGCGAAACAATTAAGGAACACGGAGCCCCTCCCCAACGAAAAGGGTTCCTTCTGCAGGGCCCCGACTGTACACCGCATAGGAGGACACCATCGCAGAGAAGAAGCAACTTCAGCGGAGGGGGCTGCAGAAGGGCTCCACGCAGGTGCTCGTGGCGGGCAAGCGGGCAGCTCTTGTTGTCAACAGGAGTGGGCTGAAGACGCTCATGCTCGGCCAGGCGCTGCGCATCGGCCTGGCAAAGAGCTGCGACCAGCCCGATCATCAGCAGCATCTGCCGCAGCGGCAGCGGGGGAGGGGGCGAGGGATTGATGAACCCGCCCCCACACCGAGCAGAGGCCAGTGACGGCGACGAAGACGACGATGACGCAAGGCTCTCTCATGGCGCGCGACAGCGGGGGGTGCGCGCAACTGAGGCCGGCCACGGAGGAGCCGGGCAGGGGAGAACATGACCCAGACAACGAGACGGTGCTCTACGAATGGTGCTGCACTCCCCCAAAGCGGCCGCCTGACCTCCGGGTGGCGCAAGGATGATAGAGCCACTGTCAGGTGTCGCTTGTTTGCCTAAGTATGACCTCAGGACGCTGCGTAGAGCAAGACGGATGCACGCAACCGACGGCGGCTCGGGCGCGGAACGGCCGTGAGGATTCACACCGCTTGTCCTGGCACGGCGTGGGCGCCCGTGCAACGCCTGCTGCTCCGCATGGTCCGAACCACGAGAACGTGCTGGCGCATCAGAGGGGCACATCCGAGCGCCCGGTGAAGCCCTTCCTGGACGCCACAGGTCGGCTTCGGAAGGACTTTGGCTCGCAGCCCGCCGTTTCCCTCTGAGTGGCCCCGCCAGTGCGGGGGCCGGGACCCGGGCGACAACGCCGTGGCCCACTGCCTCGTCGGGGGCCGCCGCACACACTGTGGACTCGGACTCACGGGCACGCCTGGGGAAGCCAAAAGGTACTGATACCGCTGCTCCCCGAACCTCTCCTGGGGTGCGTTCTGACCACAATTTCGGGGCGAACCCAGCGGTGGCGACAACGGCCTCCGAGGAGGCCCCCAAGAGGGAAAAACGGGGACAGGGCAGAGGGTATGGGCACATCGTCCTCCTCGGAATGCTGACGCAGATGCCCAGGCGGAGGTCATCACTGACCTCCACGGCTTGGGTGTCCCAAAACCGTGTGGTGACAGGCCCGGCGGCGACCTCGAAATCCGCAAAGACCTCACCGCATGGTCCGTCACCACACGGTTTTGGGACCCTGGAGGTCCCAACCGCCCGAGACATCCTCGGAGAACGACCCAAGTCCCAAAACCGTGCGGTGACCCCGAACCCCCACCGACTCACCACACGGTGTGGTCACCACCCCGTCTGGGGGCCCCCGCACGGCTTCGACGGCGCTGCGGGGAGGCTCTGCCGCGGGGGCCCCGGGCCTCGGCACCCGGCTCGCCTGCAGGTGCTGGCCACGGGCAGCTCGGCCGGCACGGCCCCCCGGCCCGCAGCCTCCGAGGGAGGCGAGCCCGGCCCTCGCCGGCACGAAGGACGGCGCGGCCGAGGCGCTGCCACGAGGAAGCCTACCTATAGGGAGCGAGGCCCCCTCGCCTCCGCGAGTGAAGCCAGGGGCCCCCCCAGGGGAGGCCCCTATAGGGGAGCCCCGGGAGGCTCCCTAAGAGGCTCCCCGGAGGCCTCCGAGGTGCGCCACATGGGGCCCTCCGATAGCGCTCCGAGAAGACCCACGCCAGCGTCGTCGTCGTCGTCGTCGTCGTCGTCGTCGTCGTCGTCGTCGTCGTCGTCGTCGTCGTCGTCCCCCTTCAGGGTCGGTGGCACCGGCCGTAATGCCTTCGCAATAAGGGACGAGACACTGTTTTTCGTAAGCTAAACTTCGGCTTCCCATAGAAAACCTCAGGAGCACCCGTGGCAAGCTGCAAAACAAGCATGGAACACAGAGACCTTCCCCCAACGAAGAGGGTTCCTTCTTCAGCGGCCCGACTGTACCGCAGCCAGCGGCATCACAGGAGCCACCGCCCACTGCCGCGGAGGAGCGCACGCTGCGCGCGCCGCGCTGATGCGGCTCCACGTCAGCTCGGGCAACTCTTCCAAGGAGTCGCTGACGAGACCGACTCGCAGCACAGGAGGCTGCCAGAGATCGGTCGAGATGCCCCCTGGTCCACTACTGTGAGGTACGCGCTGCTCATCAGCGGTCACAGCCACACCTACCAGGACGGATCCGGTTGAAAGGCTCCATCGACGCGGCCCTGTTCAGTTTGACAGACTACGCCGGGAACCAGCTGATCTTGCTGAGTGTGGTCGGCCTCGCCTCGGATTTTAAGAGGGTCGGAACGGTGCTCGTCTTTGTGCCCTTGGCCATGAACAGCAGCGTGAGCGGTGAACGCATCAGGGTACTCGCCATTGCAGTGGGTCTTTGGACCCTAGGTGCTTGCTCGACGGTGCTTGCTCGACAACGCAGGGCGCATTTCAGCACACGGACGGGCGATTGGTATCGGACAAGCCGTTCCCTGAGCGGATCGCCAAACCGAAGACTGCCCAGGGCTCTGTGTCCAGCACATTACTGATGCTCAACCAATCTCTCTCGCGCGCTTTGCTGGCATGGCCGCCCGCCGACGGCGCGCAGCGCGCGTCCGACATCCACCAAATGGGCGACCAAGTCGACCACTGAAAGGACAACGGCCAGCCCACGCTTTGGACGCCCGAGATGGGTATGGAAACAATGGGCACAATGCCCAACAGCAAATGTTGCCCCGAACCAGCAGCGACCGCTGTTGGGCGGGCGGCCTTCTGTCTCAAATGGACACAGGCCGCGGCGGCCTGTGTCCAGCGAGTCCTCTTCAAAGTGAGCAAAAACTGCTGTTGGGCAGTGTACCCATTCTTTCCGTACCCATGTCGGTCGTCCCGACACGCGAGAGGCGGCGCTGCAGTGGTACGGGTCCGCCGGCTTCATCGGGCTCCAGCCAACTGCCAACTCCTGGGTCAGCCACGGCTCCGCCGCCGCCAGGGTCAGCCAGGGCGCCTGGCTTCGCGCCTCGCGCTGCGCGACGCGCGAGAGCGCGAGCAACTTCGTGCTCTCGCGCCGCCCTCCTGGGGATACGAGGAGGACGAGAAGGAATCGGAGCCGAACCGCGAAGCGCGAAGAACTTCGCGCCCTCGAGGGCGCCCTGGGTCCACTGCGGCCACCCGCGCGCGACGAGCTCGCAGCTCACCTCGTGGGACCTGGCCCCCGAGGGGAGGAGGAGGAGGAGGAGGAGGAGGAGGAGGAGGAGGAGGAGGAGGAGGAGGAGGAGGAGGAGGAGGAGGAGGAGGGAGGAGGAGGAGGAGGAGGGAGGAGGGAGGAGGGAGGAGGAGAGGAGGAGGAAGGAGGGAGGAGGAGGAGGAGGAGGAGGGAGGAGGAGGAGGGAGGAGGAGGAGGAGGAGGAGGGAGGATGAGGAGGGAGGAGGAGGAGGAGGAGGGAGGAGGAGGGAGGAGGAGGAGGAGGAGGAGGGAGGAGGAGGAGGGAGGAGGAGGGAGGAGGGAGGAGGAGGAGGAGGAGGAGGAGGAGGAGGAGGAGGAGGAGGGAGGGAGGAGGAGGGAGGAGGAGGATCGGCCAGCATGCGTGGACTGCGCCGCCGCCTCCGCCAGGGGGGCGCCGCCCGACGGCGGCACGCCGCCGCCCTCGGACCCAAGAGACGGCAGCGAACGCCTACAGTCGGGGCGTTGACCTAAGGAACCCTAAGGAGGAGGAGGAGGAGGAGGAGGAGGAGGAGGAGGAGGAGGAGGAGGAGGAGGAGGAAGATGATGAGGAGGAGGAGGAGGAGAAGGAGGAGGAGGAGGAGGAGGATAAGGAACGAGTCCCCTTTTTTTCCCATCAGTTAAACTTCGATTTCCCATCGAGACCCTAAGCAAAACCAGAGGCGAGCTAACAAAACAACTAAGGAAACACCGAACCCCTCCCCAACGAGAAGGGTTTCTTTCTCAGCGCCCCGACTGTAACACTGCTCCTCCCTCCTCACTCCCCCTTCTCCTCCGCCGCCGCCTTCGGGTGTCGCCGCGCCGGCTCTTCTCGACGCGCCCAAGAAGACGAAAGCGAAACCGCAGCAAACCCACAGCAAAACCACGGCAAGCTCTGCGCCTGAGGCGGCGTTTGCCCTGGTGGCCGAGACGCCCTCCCCAAGACGGAAGGGCGCGCCTCGGAACAGACGGCGCGGCGACAGATGCCTGCCCCCCTTGAAAGATTTCCCCCTCGGATCTCTCCAAGGATACAATCCGACTGGGATCTCGAAGGGAATCCGCGGCAACGACTCCAAGAGGCCCAGCTCGGAGCAAAAAGCGCAGCATAACCCATGTTCTTGCGGGCAATGGTTACATACATATCCACTGGGTCTTGGAGTTTGCTGGGACAGGGGCGCCAAAATGCCGATGCGCAGTGGATGTGGATCCAAGTCTAGCCTCTAGGGCCAGATTTTTACACATTTCCACTACGCCTCTGGCTTCTGGGGAAGGGAGCCCAGAACTCCAAGACGCAACGGTTATGTAAACATTTGTCGCGCATGATTTGTTGGTCCACGTTCCTGGACACGCGTCCATAAGGTGCTAGGCAATTCGGGCCCTGGGCAAGATGGCAGGCCCAAGAGTGCTGTTCTTTTAGATCCTTCACTGAGAGTGAATACCTGAAGGGGCGCGTGCGGAAAGGACCTGGGACGGGCTACGTATCTTTGGTTTACTCTTGGCGCCGGAGGCGCCGCGGGGCCCAGCGCAGATCCAAGAAATCCGCGCGGAGCGCCAAACGTTTACGTTTTCGCCGTCTCTTCTCCTTCGATCACTCTGCTCATCTCCTCCATCCTCGTCCTGCTGCTCCCTCTCTCCCCCCCTCTCGACCCCGCTCCGCTCGAGAAAGGGGCCCGAGACCTCTCCCGGGGCCCTCCCTGGCCGTTTCTCTTTCTCGCGTGGGCGGCGCCGGGCCCGGAGCGGGCCAGGGAGATCCGAGCGGAGGAGACACGGAGGACAGACCCACCCCCCCCCACCCGTAGCAGGCGCCCCGAGGGGCGAAGCCGGTCTGTAGGCGCACCCGGGGAAAAGGGGCCGCATGGGGCGAGGCTCGTCAGCAGACGCCCAGGGCCGCTGCGGAAGCGCCGGTTCTCGGGGTCGGGGTGGTCTTTCCTCTTTTTGTTGCTCCTTGTGTTTTCTGCTTATCTGGTCGTGTGCTTTCCCCAGCGAAGAAATTATGCTAACGGAGTTCCCCACAGAAAGATGCTACGGGGTTCCATTGCTTCTTGTCTGCGCTCTGGTGGGGCCTCCCTGGAGGGGTGGGAGGGGCACGAAACCTGATGAATAATATGGTGTGCGAATACCCTGCCCGCTCTGGTGGGGCCTCCCTGGAGGGGTGGGAGGGGCACGAAACCTGATAAATAATATGGTGTACGGATACCCTGCCCGCTCTGGTGGGCCTCCCTGGAGGGGTGGGAGGGGCACGACACCTGATAAATAACATGGTGTGCGAATACCCTGCCCGCTCTGGTGAGGCCTCCCTGGAGGGGCGGGAACGGCACGAAACCTAATAATAAAATATGGCGTGCGAATACCCTGCCCGCTCTGGCGGGGCCTCCCTGGAGTGGCGGGAGGGGCACGAAACCTGATAAATAATATGGTGTGCGAATGCCCTGCCCGCTCTGGTGGGGCCTCCCTGGAGGGGTGGGAGGGGCACGAAACCTGATAAATAACATGGTGTGCGAATACCATGCCCGCTCTGGCGGGGCCTCCCTGGAATGTTGGGAGGGGCGCGAAACCTGATAAATAACATGGTGTGCGGATACCCTGCCCGCTCTGGTGGGGCCTCCCTGAAGGGGTGGAGGGGCACGGAACCTGATAAATAATATGGTGTGCGAATACCCTGCCCGCTCTGGTGGGGCCTCCCTGGAGGGGTGGGATGGGCAGGATACCTGATAAATAACATGGTGTGCGAATACCCTCCTCGCTCAGGCGGGGCCTCCCTGGAGGGGTGGGAGGGGCACGAAACCTGATAAATAGCATGGTGTGCGAATACCCTGCTCGCTCAGGCGGGGCCTCCCTGGAGGGATGGGTGGGGCAGGAAACCTGATAAATATCATGGTGTGCGAATACCCTGCTCGCTCAGGCGGGGCCTCCCTGGAGGGGTGGGAGGGGCACGAAACCTGATAAATAACATGGTGTGCGAATACCCTGCTCGCTCAGGCGGGGCCTCCCTGGAGAGGTGGGAGGGGCACGAAACCTGATAAATAGCATGGTGTGCGAATGCCCTGCTCGCTCAGGCGGGGCCCCCCTGGAGGGGTGGGACCCCCCTGGAGGGGTGGGAGGGGCACGAAACCTGATAAATAACATGGTGTGCGAATACCCTGCCCGCTCAGGCGGGTCCTCCCTGGAGGGGTGGGAGGGGCACGAAACCTGATAAATAACATGGTGTGCGAATACCCTGCTCGCTCAGGCGGGGCCTCCCTGGAGGGGTGGGAGGGGCACGAAACCTGATAAATAATATGGTGTACGGATACCCTGCCCGCTCTGGTGAGGCCTCCCTGGAGGGGTGGGAGGGGCACGGAACCTGATAAGAAACATGGTGTGCGAATACCCTGCTCGCTCAGGCGGGGCCTCCCTGGAGGGGTGGGAGGGGCACGAAACCTGATAAATAACATGGTGTGCGAATACCCTGCCCGCTCTGGTGAGGCCTCCCTGGAGGGGTGGGAGGGGCACGAAACCTGATAAATAACACGGTTTGAGGAAAGGCATGGTATGGTATGGGATGGTGGATGCATGGTATGGTATGGTAAGGTATGGTATGGAGTGGCATGGTATCGGTATGGTATGATACAGTATGGGATGGTGGAGGAAGCAGGAGGAGGAGGAGGAGGAGGAGGAGGAGGAGGAGGAGGAGGAGGAGGAGGAGGAGGAGGAGGATGTTCTGGGAAAGCAAGAACCCCACTCAGGATGTGGGGAACAAAAAAACGATGTGATCGGCGTCGCCGTGGCTGGCCGCTGGCGGGAAGGGGCGCCTGCCGCGCCGAGAGGAGCGGCGCCGGGCCCTCGAGCCGCCGAGCCCCCTGCAGCCTCCTGGGGGGGGGAGGTCGCCCGGGGGGGGGGGGGCGGGGCGGGCACCCCCCGCGGCCGAGGTCGGGCGTGTCCCCTCTGCCAGGAGGAGGAGGAGGAGGAGGAGGAGGAGGAGGAGGAGGAGGAGGAGGAGGAGGAGGAGGAGGAGGAGGAGGAGGAGGAGGTGTGTGTGTGTGTGTGTGTGTGAGCGTCGCTAGTGTTGGTTTGTTTGTTGGGCATGCCCCTCTCGGGGGGAAGAAAGGAGGGGGGATGGCAGAGGGTGGGGGTAGAGAGTCCGCTCGCGTAGCTGATTTTCTCCGCGCCCCGGCGCCGGGAGGCGCCCGTGTATCGAGGAATGGGCCCGGCGGAGGGGCCGAAAGCAGCTGCATGCAGCAGATTTCGTACCCCCCCCTTTCAGGATCCCCCCCTTTCGTTCGGCCCGACCCTCTACCAGGAGGAATGTTCAAGAATAGTGCAGAAATAAGATGATGACGATTTTGTCCTGCTTTTGTGTGTGTGTGTGTGTGTGTGTGTGTGTGTGTGTGTGTGTGTGTGTGTGTGTGTGCGTCGCTATTGTTGATTTGTTTGTGTCTGTTCCAGACTTGTCTTCCAAAATCCGCCTCTAGGAGGACATGCCCGACCATGACCTCCCCCCCTGCAGACAGCCTCAGATGCCCCCGCATGCAGCACGCAGCCCGTAGCGTGTGTGGATATTGAGCTCAGCACGCGGACTGGAAGCGTGGGCCTGGCGCAATGCGTTCGCCGAGCCGCGGGTCGGCACGTGCGCGAGACGTGCTGAGCATGGTGCGCGCTGCGCTTCGTGGCGGCAGGCTTGTCGCACCTCTCTGGCTCTTAGCATCTGGCTTTGGGCCTCGGCGCTGTCAAGAACGAATTCGTGACAACAAGCCGGCGCTGGACAGGGGGTCGAGAGGTCGATGGAACCACGCATCGGAGTAACCACAGGGCAACACATCTGGGTTGCAAGCTGGAACATTTCGGTTAACCCCTGCGACATTCGTAAACGAGAACACCTCGGTGGGCCACTCTCTTAACACTGACAAGCGATCAGATGTCGGTAGACCCGTAGGGCGCCCCGCGTGACCTATCCCGAGGCTGCAGCAGCGTGGTTCGGAATCCAAGCGTCACGCGTCAAATCATCCAAACTCGCTTCAAAGCGTTCAGGACGGCCCAAGGATCTCCAACTATCGCCCTAGACGGCTCCCAGGGATCCTTAAAAGGGCCCAAGAGGCTTCCACGACGGCCCCAAGACAGCCCCTAGAAGGGCCCAAGAAACGCGTCACCGCCTGCTCGTCGGAAGCATCCCCTCCAAGATCGGCCCAATGCATACCAGAGGCAACGAAAAGGCCCCGAAGAGGCCCTCGAGTTCTCGAGACGCCTCCAGAGGATCTCGAGAAGATCCAAGGAGGCTCCCCCAAAAGGCTCCAAAGAGGCCCACCAGGAGGACCCAACGAGACACCCAAGAGGCTCCTCAGGAGATTCCAAAAGGTGTCCAAAAGGTTTCTGGTCCACGGCCCAAGCATGGTGGCTGGATGTGCCCAGTATCGTTCTATCAGCCGCCACCGTAGCCTGCGGGAGGATGTTGGCGTCCCGGATGCTGTTCTAGAATTGCTGGCCCCAGGTTCAAAGTAGCGTCTGGCCCAACCTGCAGGCCACCTAGACACCACAGTAACATCAGCACAATCCGCCCCAACATGGCCAAGATGACCTCCAAGACAGCCCAGATGGCCCTACATGGCCTCCAATGACGTTCAAGAAGCCCTCCAATTCGGCCCCGAGATCGCCCAAACGGCCTCCAAGACGCCCAAGGCCGAAGACGGAACGAGAGGACCCATGAGGACTCCGAGACGGTCCAAAATGGACTCCAAGACGGCCAGTATTGCCCTATACGGCCTCCAAGAAGGTCGGATATGTCTTCAAAGACGCCCAAGATGGCCCCTAGACGGCCCCAACTTGCCCCCAAGAGGCCACCAACATGTCTGCAAGAGGCTCCCAAGTCACAAAGAGGCCACCTCCTCGTCCGCCTCCTCCTCCTCCTCCTCCTCCTCCTCCTCCTCCTCCTCATCATCATCATCATCATCATCAGCATCAGCATCAGCATCAGCATCAGCATCAGCATCAGCATCATCATCATCATCATCATCATCATCATCATCATCATCATCATCGTCATCGTCATCGTCATCATCATCATCAGCAGCATCAGCATCAGCATCAGCATCATCATCATCATCATCATCATCATCATCATCTTTCTCCTCCTCCTCCTTCTCCCTCCTGCTCCTCCTGCTCCTCCTGCTCCTCCTCCTCCTCCTCCCTCCTGCTCCTCCCCCTGTTTCCTCCCCCAAGTATTCCCCCCAACGGTCTGCACAACGTCTGGAGAAACACATCATACAACAGCCAGGCCAAACTGTGAATCAAGGTTTGGCCACCTTGGCGTGTGTAGAAAGGCGTTTGGCGGCGGTGACTCGCCATAGGCGTCTCTGTAAGGATTCGAACCCACCGAAGCTGTCCCCCCGCTCCTCCTCATCCTCCTTTCTCTCCGCGCGATCACACAGTGGAATCCCGCGGAGTCTGTCATCCCAGGTCTCCTTCTCCTCCTCCTCCTCCACCTCCTCCTCCTCCTCCTCCTCCCCCTCCTTGATCAGCGCGGTCACAAAGTGCTGTGTATCTCCTCGTCCTCCTCCTCCTCGTCCGACGACGTCGGCGAGAGTGACGAGGGTAACGATGACGACACGACGGAGATGGCGGCAGCGACCACGAGAACGGTGCAGAAGCCAACGAGAACGACAGCGACGCGCGTCGAGGTGTCCTCGGACGTCTCCCGAGATCCACGAGGTCCCAGGCGTCCGAGGCCGCAGGAGCCTGTTCGGTCACACATGCGTCGAGGCAGCACCCGTCGGTCGGAAGAAGTCGGTAGAAACATAAAGTAGGCAATCGTTGGAAGCAAGCGCCGAAAGTAGATTGGGATCCGGATGATCGAGAAGCGCTTACTTTCAACGACCGACGGGTGGTCCTGAACAGGTGCACGGAACGGAGACGTGGAGATTGGCGTGCTGCCCCCGGGTGCAACAATTCGCTGGCCCCACGGGCCAAGACCTGGCTAAGATCTCTGGCCTGAGATCCCGAGTGCTTGTGCATCACTGGATCGTGCGCGCGGGGCTGCTCCCTGGGGGTCCCTGCATGAAGGATTCCCGGATACAGCGCGCCAGAAGTGCGACGGGGGTTGCGCCCGACTCGGATCAGAAATGGCTTTCGGTCCGGGCGCGGCCTTCAAGACCCCCATGAGCACTCCAGGAATGCTCCACGGGGCCTGCAGGAAAGCCCAAGAGGGTCCGACACGGTCCACAAGGATGCCCAAACGCTCCAACACGTTCAAAGAGGCACCTAAGATCACCCCAAGACAGCCCACGAGGCTCCCAAGACGGCCCCAAAGCGGCCCACGAGAGCTCCAAGACGGCGCCCAAGAGGGGGAACCCGAATTGAGAACTCGAGCTCTTCCCCCTAAACCGGCCTCCGAGACTGCCAGAAGGCCGCCGAGAAAGGCCCCAAGAGTCTCCCAAGCGGCCCCGCGAGGCCCCCCAAATGCCCACGCGAGCACGCAGGCACGTGCCAACGGTGTACAAATGTGGACGTGCTGCGACTCGGACGCCCTCTGTGGCAGGCGTGTGTCCCCGTCTCAGCTGCTCTGATGCGCTCGTTTCGAAACGCAACACGTGCCATGTTCAAAACGTCCGTGTTCGAGGCGTACGTGTTCAGTCTGCGCGTTGAGCTCCGTATCAATACGCTACGTGTTGCGTGTTGCGTATCGGGGCAGCTAAGGTCCCCGTAGGCAAGAGTCTCGCAAGAGGCCCCAAGACTCCACATACCAGAGCGGCTCCCCTGCGGAGCTCCCGGCGGCTCTCCCGCGGACCTCCCTCCGCCCCTCGTGCCACGCGCCTCGCGGGCCACATCGTACTCAGTCCAGACGCGTGCACTCGCCTCGCTTTGCGCCTCCTCCGCGAAGTGGGCCCCCCGCGCTGCTGCAGCCCCTGCAGGGCAGCGCCCTCCGTGCCCCGCCCCTCTTGCACCGACGCCGCGCACCTGGCTCGAACTTGAGAGTGCCGCTGGAGAAAGAGAGCCGTCACCACTCAGCAGCGCCGCAGTGGCAACGAGCTTGGGGCAAGCGCGCGTGCCGAGACGATCTGCGCCAGCGGCGTGAACGAAACGATTCAGTCATGCGACCCCTCGTGCCCCCAAGGCCCCAGAACCCCCCCGCAACACGCGGGGGCGTTTGGAAGACGCCCCCGAATCGACGACGAACATCGAGCTACTTTTGCAGCTCGTTACGACTTCCAACTGCGAGCTCAAAGCGGCGGGCGCGCCCAGGAAAAACAAACACTGGCTGCGGTGTGCGCTGTAGGCAGGCGCTCAACTGCGCGCGGCATGCAAACGAGTGATTTCTCCGCACTTGGCCACATGGTGGCCTGAAAGTTGCACCTGCTGTGTTCGCATGCCGCTGCAGGGGCGAAAACGTGCCCCAGAGAAACCCAACCCTGAGGCCCCAGGACGTCCATTGCTTTTTGGTGAGGGAGCGTCACGCTCTCCATCGCAAAGCCATCGAAATCCAAGAAAGCCAGGACACCCTGGAGGCAAGCAGGCTGTTTCTCGGCACGGGCTTCCACTGCAAGGTGCACGGCGTGCCCACATGCCGCACTGCTGCCTCTGCATCCCGCTGCAGCATCCCCTGCTGGCGGGCTCGGCGCGGCGGCGGGCGCCCCACCCCCAGCGGGGGAGGCGTGGGGGCGCGAGCCGCGCTGTGCTCGGACCCGCGCGCTCGGCCTCGATCCTCGATCCTCGGAACGGAGGCCTCCCAAAATGGGTCCGAGCAGACGGGGTCAGAGAATCGCGCGCGTCGCCGATGCATCGCCGATGCAACGGCGACGTCGGCGACGCATCGGCCTCGTCGGCGTGGAGAAAATCGGGCTCCGCATCGGGCCGCAGCGCCGATGCATCGGCGATGCGGCGCGCTCCTCCGACCCAATCCACTCTGACCCCACTTGGGAGGCTTCGACGGACGTCGACTAATTACACGCAAGAGCGACCCTGGGCAAGAGTGACCTTTGGAGCGCGGCTTTTGGGGGCCGCGGGTGGACCAAACACACGCGTGCACCACGCTACTACCCCAGCGCGCTCGGCGATCGGGGGACCCCCATGGGCCCGCACCAGAGGTCACTCTGGCGCAGGGTCGCTCCCACGCGTAGCCGAGACCGCCCCCTCCCGGGGACAGGTCCTCACGGCGCCGGCGCCGGCGCCCGCGGAGGGCGACGCGGTCCTCGAGCAGAGGGCCCCGCCGCCGCCGCCGCCGCCCGCGGAGGCGATGTGCACGCTGTGCCACCAGCGCGGGCTGCCGGGCTCCGGGGACGCGCCGGGGGCCCCCTCGCTGCGCCCGCCGGGCGCCACCGGTGCCGGGAGGAGGGGCCGTGGCTCGGGGCTGCGATGTTTCCGGGCGTTCGGGGCGTTCTTGAAGCCTCCAGGGGCCTCTGCACGCTCCCGCCCCCAGGACCGTGGAGACATCTGGTGTCCTGCGGCGGAGGTGGAGGAGGAGGAGGAGGAGAAAAAGAGGAGGAGGATGACTAGGAGGAGGAGGAGGAGGAGGAGGAGGAGGAGGAGGAGGAGGAGAAGGAGGAGGAGGAGAAAAAAGAGGAGGAGCGTGACCAGTGTAAACCCAAGGCGCTTCACAAATGTTGCAAAAGAGTCTCCCTTCAAACTTCCTCTTCATAAGCCCCTACAAGAAACTGACCTTCATTGCGGGGAATGGCCCATTAGGAGAGAACCGCCGCATAATCCCGAATCGTACCATAATGCAATTCCTGGGGGTTCAACGCCGCGCATCAACGTGACTCTTGCATCTTGACCATGCTGAACCGTGCCAGGACACAATTCCTTGGACTTCGGTGCCGAGGGCCAAACCGAATGCTATGTCCTGAGAGTCCTATATATCGTGCCAGAACATGATTCAACCAATCAATCCTAGATCGTGCCATAACGCTATTCGTGGATCTTCAACCGTATGATTCTTCGAAGCGGTCGCGAACTGTTAAGACGAATGTGTGCTGCGCTATAGCGGGTGCAGCACTTTGAACACTTCCTGCCCCCTGTGTTTGCAAATTGCTCCAGAATGTTGAAATGAATGTGCGAGGCGCTACGGCGAGACTCGCATTTTGAAAACTACGGTTCCTCCATCCTCGGCGCTGTTGCAAGCATGTTCAGGCGAATGTGCGCGGTGCTACGGCGAGAACCATATTTTGAACACGATCCGCCCTCCACCCGTGAAATGGTTGCAGCATGTTTACACGAATGTGCGCGGCACCAAGGCGTGAACAGCCTCTTGAAACCGGCCAGGCCTCCATCCGTGCAGCGGTTGCCAATTCCGAACCTCAAAGTCACAACCAGTGAGGTAATCTCAAGGAAAGCGACAGGCCCGCTCTACCAACACGTCTGGGGGTGCGGCAGGGAGGAGTAAAGTGTAAGAGACAGGGATGGAGGAAGAGAAGGAGGGGGCGTTCTTGGCTTGAGACCGTCGAGTCCCACATATTGACGCGTAACGCCGCCATGTGCGCGCAGGCGGGCCTAGTTCCCCAACTGCCACAACGTGCGAGCGTCCTCCGCTCCCGACGCTGCCAACCGCCTCTCCACGATGTGTTGGTAACGCATGGGTAAAAGGTGGAGCTGTTAGCTATGATTTTACGGTAGAGAGGACATTACCTTGCAATACTGGAGAGGCACGGGATTGAGCTGGCTGCCGACTATGGAGCGAGCCGCAAAACAGCTTGTAGCATTGGACCACCAAGCCAAGTGTGGTATGGCTGGGATGCCCGTCGCACTGGACACGCGAGCGAGAGGGAGGAACATGGCTGGATAGCCAGCACGGCAATGCAGAACCCCTGGGCGCAGTCCTTTTCTTTAGCAAAGTAAAGGGGTGCCGGCCGGCTGATGGTGAGGATGACAAAGCAAAAGAACAGAGGAGAAGTGGGTGCGGGCATGGGGTGCGCTGCAAGGCAGGTGCTGGGACTTGGCGGGGATGCGAATGGGCGGTCCTTTCGTGGCGAGGAAGGCAGAGGGAAACACAGAAATGCTGAAGAAGGGGGAGGGAGGTAATGTGAGGGATACGTCTTAGCAGAAGCATCGCGATTCCTGGCCGTGAAAGCTATGCCTCGCTCATGGAATGAGGCTGTCGCGCAGCCTAGAGCTGGGAAGACAAGGAGACAAAACGATGTGGGCGGCGTCATAACCGGTTGTTGACCTTCTTCGCCGCGTGAGCCTCCTTCAGCATTGCTTCCACCTCCACGACCGTGGGCAGGCCTGGCGTCTCGACCAAAAACCAGTCCCACGCCTCGTGGGCCTCGTTGTCCCTGAGCTGGACCCCGACGCACTCGCCTGGGTAAACTGTGGGCCACCACTTGCGATAGCGGCGCTTGGCCGCGTAGTTGGCAACACATTGCCACTGGTCTCCCTGGTAGGTGTCACCCGTGGGACCAGCCGCTTCTCGTGCAGCTGCCATTGCCGCGGGCCACGCGCCAAGGGACATGGGGGCCGCCGCCATGCCGCTAAGCATGCAGGGAGGGGCTGTGGCGTCCTGGGCCGCGTCACCGGGGACAATGACTGTGAGGCAGGAGGGGAAAGCAGAAACACATTGTGGTGGAAAGGCTTCAGGCGTGGGTGAGAAAAACATGGACTATTCCTGCGGGCTGTTCCTGTCTGCGATAGGGGCCTTTCTTGAAAGGGGCCCTAACGAGGGTGCACAACTCTTATAATCCTCCCCTCCGAGATTATTATAAGGGTGCTGAAGCGTTCTCGTTTGGGCAGATGGAGGATTGAGGCCCCCAGGGGGAGGATTAACGGACGTCGGCCATAACATGGGGACCAGCATGGAGAAACGGGAGGAGGAGCGGAAAGGGACGAATACCACGGCAGGAGGGACCAGCCTGGCTGCAGCTCTCCCCCATCGAGCCCTTGTCGAGGGGAGGTGCAAGAGTGAATATCTACGCGGAGACAAAGCCTGCTGAAATATGTGGGGCAGGAGAGGCGCCACCGAAGCCTATTGACCATGCAAGATTGGAGAGCTAGTGCTCCTGCCTTGTGCGTGGCGGCTGGCCTTCTTGCTTGCCCTGCCTGCACTCCCAGTCAATGAAGAAGAGGGCGTGCTGGCGGTTGGAGCTCTGCCCTCGCTGGAGACGGGGATCTAGGCTTGGGCGGAGGCGGCGGGTTTCGAGCGGGCGAGGTGGGAGCGGGATCACCGGTAGACGCTGCATCTGAAGATGCCTCCGTGCGGTCGTCTCGGGACAGGAGGAAACGCCTGTCATGTGTGTGCGTGCGATTCTTGTCAAGCGGGTCCGAGAAGGGCGGCCGCCGCCGCTCTTGCTGTCTTGGGCTGGCCGTGACGGCGAATGCGCCTGATGGCCTCGACACGCGTGCTGCTGGAGCTGCTTCGAGCGGGGCTGGAGCAGACAAGCAGAGGGTGCGGTCGGAATCGCTGGAGGATGGGCTCGGGTCTCTGCCCTTGCCCGCCTCCTCCCCTGCAGATGGCGGCGGCGTGGACGCCTTTCCGATCCCCTCCAACGGAGGGGGCGGCGGTGGCGGAAGCAGCTGTGCCGGAGCCACGGGAGGAGGAGGAAAAGGCCGTCGCTTGCCAGAAACTTCCATTGCTGGACGGCGGTGGGAAATCTCCAGGCGGCGCAGAGGCACAGATTTAGGAAGAGCGTGCTGTTGAGAAGCGACTGCTGCGGCGAAAGAAAGGACATGCGAATGGGAGCGGGAGAAAAACGCCAGGAGGCGGAGGCAACGTAGAAAGCCCGACAATGTCATTCGTGGTACGGCTGTGGAAGAAACGCCCTTTCGATGAGCTCTGACCTGTCTCCGGCCTCACCATGGCGCGAAGCCTTAGAAATTGTGGTCCTGCGGCTTGTCCCCTCTCACTTTCCAGATGCCGGCAGGGGAGAGGGGGGAGGAGCCGAAAACCAAAGAAAGCCAAACCTGCGTCAGCGATGCTGGAATACACCCTCCTGGTCTGACCCCATCCTCTTAAGCCCATGAGCGCCTCCCGACAATGAGCGTCCTCTTGAAAAGCCAGGGCTCGTCTGCCATTCAGGCGAACGCCCCGCTCTGTAAAAGGAACCGCCTTCTCCCCCTCGCGCGAAAACGCAGGAATGCGACACTCTGGCATCCTGCAAGTCGACGACATGTCCGGCGCTGCGGCGAGATCCCGGTCTCCCCCCCCAGAAAAAGAAGTGTCGGTACTTGGGCTTCTCTCCAGCACCTGGTTCTCGCCACGTCCGAAGGGGAACTGGGACACACCAACAAATACACACACAAACAAAACCATTCCCCATATCTTCCCATATGTTCTGGGTTTCTGTCTTCCCCCCCCACTTCCCATATTTCCCCATATTTTCGGAGGAATCGAGGATAACTGGTGTCTGTGTGGCTTTTCCTCTCCTGAACGCTGGCGCCCGTGCCCGCCCGTGGGCGCCTCGCGCGCACCCCCGCGCGCCGGGTGGCCCTGCCGCGGCCTCGCGCCGCGGGCGCGCGCCATCGTGCGCGCTCGCGGGCGCCCCCTGGGCTCGCGGGCGCCACCGCGCGGCCGGCACCGCACACAGCCTGCGGCAGGCCGCTCACACATCGCATGGCCGACGCAGCGCACAGCCGGGGCGTTGACCCAAGGAACCCTGAATAAGGAACGAGGCCCCTTTTTAACCATCAGTTGAACTTCGACTCCCCCTCGAAGACACAAGGCAAACCGGAGGCAAGCCGTGAAACAATTAAGGAACACGGAACCCCCCCCAAACGAAAAGGGTTCCTTCTTCAGGGACCCGACTGTAGCTTCACCACACCGCACCAGCGTGTGGCTTGTGCTGCTTGTGCACCGCGGACCTCGCGCCCCGTATCCTGCACAGCAGAGCCCACGCCATACAGCTCACGCCAGGTAGCAGACACGGCATCGCTGGCACCACACGGCGTGCACAGCATAGCTCACACCATTGAAAGCACACCGCGCAGCTTACACAACACGATCTACACAACACAATTTGCACCACGCAGCTCGCACCGCAAAGCTTACATAACATAGCTTGTATAACCACCATACTTCTACCACCACAACGCAACAACTCACTGTTTGGTGTCAACGACGGCTACCGTGTGGAAAAGGAAACGACCTCTACCTTGAAGCCGATGTAAGCTTGAAAGAATATATGTGCACAGCGCTGAGGCGAGAACCCCATTTTGAATGCCACACCCCTCCATCCCTGAAACTGCCTATCTTCGTACTGGGAAGTCTGGGCCGCCGCGGACACGCAGCAGGAGTCCAGGGAGGCGAAGTGGAGATTTAGCAAGAGGTTTTTGAGGGATTGCGGAAGTCTTCTGAA